TGTGTCTGTAGGAGGATGGTGCTCGGCTGTGGCTTGGGCTGGAGAAGAAGGAGGGTAGGCCGGTGTAGTCTGTGTCCTGGCTGGAGAAGAAGGCCTCGCCATCTTCTGGAGGCAGCAGGCCAGGCTCAGAGGAGAAACCGGCCAGCGGATCTGAGCTGAGCAGAGCTGGAGACACCCAGTGGGACTGCTCTGATGAATCCTCCATGCTGACTCAACCTATAGCGCCACAACAGTAGGGATGTGAGAAATCTACAGTGCTGTAGATTGTGTGTCAAATGCATCCACTCAAGATAATTTTTCTGAAACTGAAAGCTGAAATCAGGGTATTTCTGCAACCTCGTGGAAATGCACGCCACAATTAAATGTGTCTGATTTACTGTAACAATGTATAGAAGAAGATACATTATCACCACACTCTTCACTTCATAACAACCAGTGAAAATTTCAAGTTATCAGGGACAAGATCTCTCGACAGCAGGCTTCTTCAAACTTCCTTTTCTAGGATCCTCATTTGACTGTGGCTGAAAGTAAAAACTAAAAATAAAGGGGTCTATAATTGTAGTGATGCAGCCAATGACCAAACGGTTTCTAAGTGGCCTGTCTACAATAGGTGTGCCAGTTAGAAGAATGCAAAAGATATGCCCTCGGGGACGCCCCACACTGTAGACAGACAGCATAACATTCCGACTTAAAAAAACAACTGAATTGGTGTATACAGGCAGATTTACGAAGTGAAAGTGTAAGCAGTACCCTCTGTCACACTGCTTAGAGGATAATATGCCATTTTCACAACAGCCTTTTAAATGTTTGGTGTTTTTGATAGTTTTTCTGTTTTTATTCAAGAATAACTGTGTTACAAGTTTTAGTCTTTGAGATGACAAGGCCGTTTGCTGCCGTGTAAAAAAAATCACAAATTACTGCTTTAAAAAAACTGAAAGTGAAAACTGAAAAAGTAATGAAAGCACAGAATGTTAAATCAGTACTGTGAGAATTGCAATAACAGACAAGGCCGCCCTCGCCACATATCTTTAGAGGAAAGAGATGAGGAAAGAGAAGAGGCTGATAGTGTCTGATAAAGTCTGAGAAAATCTGATAGACAGCATTATTATAATGATAAATATATCCAGCTACAACACGACCCTGATCTCATCTGATTAATAGAAATCTGTTAGACTAGAAATGTGACAAAACACAGCAGAGTGAGACAGGATGTTGTGGAGAGCCGATCAAATTAGAATGTCCAGAAAATTTTAAACAGGTGGCAATAATCCTATTTAGATAGATTTAATTGTTTTAAACTAAAATGCTTTTCAGATATAAGCTTCACACAAGAACATGGTTAATTGACTTTAGGTTTAATTACTGTCCTAATTGAAGGTTAATGAGTGGGAATTTAGTACAGTAATTTATATTAAAACATTTAACATTAAAGGGATGAGTCACCTAAAAGCATGATAATCGTGATGATGACTCATCAAAAATTAATTTTATCACTCAGATACATAGACCCATGGCAATATATCAAAGGAAATAATATTACAAATCTAAATAAAACACATGTTTTAGAGAAACTGTCCATCTCATTGAGAAGGAAGCAGAATCTCTGTGACCTTAAAGTAAAGTCCTCACCTCTCATATCTCTCCAAGTCACAGTCAATCAAGCAACAAATGGCCTGAAGCGATAGTAAACCTCACCAAGCTCCAAATGCATTAAATGTGCTTTCATAAGCCAGAGAGTCTTAAATCAATGGGATTATACACTGGTGTCTCCTGAAGAATAGGCCAACAGGAGACAAAGAGCCGTGGGGTCACCTACCTGAGTGGTTGTCAGAGATGAGCGAGGTGAGCAGTAGGGCACGGGGTTAAAGTTATGCAGCCAGGTGGAAGGTTGCACAGCTCGTCTGTCTGACTCAGTATAGGCTGATGGCTAGAAGAACTACTTCTCCAACCACTAGCGAACTTTAGGGCTAAGAGACAGTCCGTGGGAGGGGTTGGGGACAACTTTTTGAAAGACACACCTCTTTGGTCCAGAGAGAGAAAAAAACTTGTGTGAGGGCAAAGCTAACATATTTAAAACACTTAATGTAAAATTATGTCCAAATGTGTATTTTATCTGCAAATGGTGCAACTGTTGTTTGTCTTATCAAAGGCTTTTGGCATCTGAAGTAAGAGGGAAAGTTGAAGGTGTCAGCTTTAAATCTTGGCTCCTCTGCTCTTCCTTTATGGCCGTGTGTGCTGGTAGTGTAGCGTTGATAACATGTTCGTATCTCTGAGGATTTCCACAAAGAAAGCACCACATGATAAACGCACACTATTCTCAAATAATAATGTATAGCTGAGAGATAGATAGAAGTTTATTGCAGACACACACATGAATATAATGTCATACAGCTGTTCCAAGCAGGGCGGTGAGCATGCAGGATGGGTGCTTTTTGTCTGTTGATGAAATGTGCATACAGCCCCTGATAAGGCCGAGTTCGCATGGAAAAGACTCCACAGACATTTGAACAAAGCAAATATAAAATGCAAAGACTCAATTTCTTTGTGGTCCAGCAAAGCTTAGAGTGGAACACAGTAATGCAAATCGGGAGAGGAGCTGCAATCATGGGGGCAGAGATATGGTCTGGACACGGCCTGGCTGCGCACAAGCCCGACACTGTCCCAGTCATTTGATAGTCAAAGCAGCTCCCCAACTTTCCTCTCTCTTTGTTCATTTACAGTTTTCAGGGAAATCAGGTGAGAAAAACAGTTAGGAAGAATTGAGGCCTTTTTTTAATTTGGAACACTGGGCCTTTTTCTGCCACTTAAGAAACTGGAGCAGTTTAATTAAAACTACATCCTCATCGGGTAGTGAGGGGCAGATAAACTGCATCCATCAGTTAGACCAGATGCAAATCAATATATAGGTCACTGAGTCGCATATTTCCATTAACGTTTCACTCTTTCTACAGTTTTTTTTCTTATTTCTTTATTGTATGTATTGTTGTCAACTATAACATATGACAATGAGAAAGAAAAAGAAACTATTTAGGCATCACAATGAAACAGGGATAACATAACAGGCATGACTCCACTCTCAGTTGGAGGATACATTCAACATGGCAACAGGAAATGGGCAAAGTGTAATATAATACAAATAAAAATGAAAGGCAAAAACAATAATATAAAAAATAATAACAGAAAAGGTAGCCAATAAAATTTAATTTCTTTAAAAAATTGAAGCACACTAGCTATATGACTGCATTTTTTTTGTTTATAATATGGTTTGCCTCAAGCTATTGCCTAAATCTAAATTCAAATCCAAATTTGGCTTTATGGATGTGAAGTTTCCAAAGCAAAATTAGTAAGTTGACAGCTGAACTTTTCTGTTTTTGTTTTCATAGTATAGCATTACATCCTTGGTATCCAGCTTAATTGAATGATTGGTTTGAGTGTCAAAATAGTCCCATTTCTCCTCCAGAATCTTGATGTGTGCTGACATTCATAAAATGGATGGTTAGTGGTTTACAGAATTCACATTTGTTATTGATGTCCACAAATCTTGAGACGAATATGTTGGGGGGTAAATATTATGCACAGTTTTGTAATGCATTTGTTTCAGTTTGTAGGGGATAACACATTGATATGGGAGAAGCCATGTTGTTTCTTAATGCATATTTACAAATCCCACTCTCTCTACAGTTGCTTGGCTTGAAATCCTCCTCCTGCGCCAACAGAAGCAAACTGCAGAGTACATTAAAGGCCAGCAAGGTCACAGATTCAAAACGATTCCACAGTATTTTTGCCCAGATGGGTATCAGGAAACACAGACAAACCAAACAAGGCCGTACAAAGCCTCACTTCTTATCTATAAAAGTTTCATCCAGGTTTCATTGCCTTAGAATTTCGAACATCGTGGCTATGGCCCTCAGCACATCTCATTCACAGGGCAACACAATGTGCTTTATATAAAGTGACAATGCAATCAAAATACAATCAAACAAGTTCAAGTGCAAAAAATATATATACATAACATAATACTATTTATTGTTAGGATGCAGCTTGCCTCTCGCCCGGTGCAGCTTGCCATGACGCTGAACAGGATAAGTGGAAATAATATGAAAAGATGTTTGATGAAGGTAATTTATTGTGTTATCTACTTGAGTCCGTCCCTTACCCCCCTTGCGTCTACGAAGAGTTTACTTTTAGTGGCACTAATATCAAAACTGAATGGGAATAAGCCACTCTGCTCGCAGAGTGCATCAGTGTGTGTCGATGAAAGTGATATTATGAGAGTAAGAGTGAAATGAGGTCTCTGTGGCAGTGTGGCCAGCTGGGCAGGGATGTGGCTGCTGCCGCTGTGCAAGCGGGCTGCTCTGCTCTGATAAGAGGTTATCTAGATGAAAGGAGGAGGCCAGGAATTACAGGCCCGCCGCTCGCTGTCATACAAAGCACAGACAGACACACAGACCAACAGGACATTGCAGCATGTCCGTGGTCATGCCATGTAACTCATAGCCTGCATGGGCACATGCATTAGGCACACACACACACACACACGCACACACAACGTGCCTGCTCCGTTGACAGTATCTCGACAAAAGCAGTTGGAGCTGACACTGGATTGTCTCGTTGGACAGTTGGGAGGTTGTGTGAGCCCGTTGTAGCTGTCTGACTGATGGTGTTGCATGTCACCAGTGGACTTTGGGGACAGCTTTCTAATTCCCAAGAAACAGGCTTCTGTGTAGGCGGTGGTCTTATCTCTGCCACGCAGGGCTGCAGCAACATACCCAGGAGAGCTCTCTCTCTCTCTCTCACACACACACACACACACACACACACACACACTCCTCTACTTTGTTCTTCAGTTTCACCTCTTTTTTTCTCATCAGCTACTCACAGTTTTAGTCAACAAAGATTAACTAGTGTCCATGTGGCCTTCTTGGCACACATCTCTGATCTGCATGTGATGTTTTGTTTATCAGGCAGCGTATGAGTGTGTGTCTGCAATGACTAATAAAGTCAGGTGGTTGAGTGGCCAAAGCCTGGCACTCTGGTGCCACTCACTGAGATATCCTGGCTTTTTATATTGCTGATTTTGTGTAATCTCAGTATTCTGCTCCTGCGCCTCTGACGGTCTCAACAGGACACAGATATGCAAAAGCATGTAAGCATTACCTCAATGTGTGTAACTGTAATTTTCTTTTCTCTTTTTTTGATTATTGAAAAAAAAGCTGCATGTTTTTATTTCTTGTTGAACGTTAGTGTTTTGCTTGTATGTCTTTATGTCAATAGTAGTGTTTCAGTGAATTGGTGTAGTATAGAGTTTTTTCCCCCTTAAGTAGCTTCAAGGTTGTTAAAATCATCTTGTTCCAATTTAACTGACAGTGTCATGTACTGTGTACTCTGTTCCAGCTCTTCATTGAAGCTATAGGGCTAATACAGAGTGAAACAAAGCCAAGACTCTTTTTTATAAATATTTCACATGCACCATTTTATCCACATTTCTCCAAAAACCTCTCCAAGAATTTAAGATAAATGTCTGTTTATTTAAACAATGTCTAGCTGCAGCGGATGAGTAAATTATTTTTTTGTGGTATGCAGTAATTGTTAAAGCCACAATATTTTCATATATATTTGAAAGATTTATTGTGATATTTGTGTAGTGGTATACTAATAATTATGTAAAAGTATGTTAAATGCATTTTATAAAGGCAGGTAGCCGAAATCTAAACGTGTTACTTTGAGCACATTTATTGAGCACCTTTTAAGCATTAAGGCTCCAGTCAGTTGAAAAACAAATGGTGAAAAACAGTGAATCACTAGACATGTTGTAGATAACACCACCTGACAGCTCCAACAGAAAGGAAATCCTGGGAGAACCGTGAATCACCTGAGGCCTATACTCCCCCCTAGTGGTAAATAAATATAGTATCCAGTACAATTTACATTAGATTACATGTTAATGAATTTTTTATTCAAAATCACCATTTTACATAGATCTATCTATCTATCTATGTGTTTTTGCATGGTGGTCTGTGTTATTTTTTATATTCTATGCTGTATGTATTTTTTTCTTATGCCTATTCTAACTTTTGCTGTGAAATCAGCTGTGCCTCTGGGTGTTGACTCATACAGGACAGAGGTCAGCTATGTGCCAACCAAACCAAAGCAGCTGTCACATGGTGCTTTCAAAGACTGTTTAAAACAATGCAATTACAGAGAAAAAATGAGCAACGAAGCAAAGCAACACCTGTTTAGCTCAGATAGCTCTGGACACTCTTGTTTTTGAGACAAAGCACCACCAAAATGCTACTTTGGCTGCACATATTTCTGCTATGAAAACCACTGAGGACACTGGTCTTTCTGGAGCTTTGGGGCTTTAGTAAACATTATGGTGAACATTTAATTAATACAGTATTTTTAGACTAAATATGTTTAAATTCGATTGCTTTTAGGTCAACAGTAAGGGTTCACTATTATACTAGATATAATTCCCAGTAGGCCCATTTTACAGAGGACTTTGAAACATCCTTTGGACTTTCATGTTGCATTTTTACGTAAAATACTGTTAAAAAGTTAAATAACATATAGAAATAACAACAACAGCAACAACAACAATAATAATGATAACAACAAACAAATAAAACACATTTGACTTTTCTTTGGGAAAGAAAATGGGGGGACTTGGTGATTCCTAACCTCAGTCTTTCTAACATCCTGGCTAGGCCTACTGTCCACATTAAAAACACTTTGGCCCACAGCTACTGTGGCACGCATCATTTTACCAAATGTAAAAATACGAGGAGCACCTGAAGGCAGCAGCAGCTGAAGCTCCGGTGGAAACAAACCTCAGCAACACACGTGAACATGAAGGAAGGAAAAAGTCCGGTTACTCTGAAATTAATCCTCATAGGAAGCTCCGGGTAACGTCAGCTAACTTCTTTTTTAAACTCTTATTTCAAACATATTGTATATATAAGTTTGGATTTCCTGCTCCGTCAAGCAGCTGTTTCACTTTCATTTAGGACCCTGGTTTAAGGCTGTAAATCATCCTGGATATTCTCTGAAAGTGTAAAAGTTTGTAGGCTATTTAACGTAGCAGTGAGATAAAATGTGAATTCTAATGATCTGTGGAAGGAGATAAATAGATTTGATTGTGTTGTAGATTTTTTATATGGCTGTGTGTGTTTACACAGGTGGGAAAATCCTCCTTCATGAACAGATATGTGAATCACCGCTTCACCAACATGTACCGGGCCACTATAGGGACTGACTTCCTTTCCAAAACAGTCAACATAGATGGGGACACGGTCATCCTGCAGGTAACTCCTCAGTCCATCTGTCCAGCCTCGCATATAGCCTACAGAATTCAGCCTACATACGTCTTCGCGTTGTGTCTCCCTCAGATCTGGGACACAGCAGGCACAGAGAGGTTCCAGTCTCTGGGCACACCTCTGTACAGAGGAGCCCACTGCTGCATGCTGGTGTTTGATGTCACATCCAGAGCTAGTTTCTCTGCCCTGGAGGGGTGGAGGAAGGAGTTTCTGATCCAGGGTGAGCCTCAGGACCCATCTGACTTCCCCTTCATTGTACTGGGCAACAAGACTGACCTGAGCAACCGGGAGGTCAGTGAAGGTGCCACTGTGGATCTTAAAGTATCAGTGTTGTAAAATAGTGGACCACAGATACCACAGGGTTCAAGGGTTCAGGTTGTTTTTTTTTTAAACTTGACATGAGTAAAGGGATTAGGCTCTTTAAAAGTTTTACTCTTTCATGTCAGGAATTTCCAATCAGACAACCTTTGGTCAAAATCCACTGAAATCCAGACTGATGCTGGTTTTATAGATTTTACAATCAACTGTGACCAAGACAACCTCAGCAGTAGCCTACAGATGTTGATAAAACGAAATACACGCACACACACACACACACACATTGCACTCCTAGGTATGAAAATGCAAAGTAAAATAGCCTAGGCTACTTTGTGTTCAATGCTATCATTACCAACTAGAGCCCGAAGGAAGTAGCCTAATTAGAACAATGCATTCATGTAGTAGAAACTGTTTACTGACTGGAGAACTACAAAAGTAAAAGAGAGGTTGTTTGAAAACTACACTTCATTGATTAGTTGGTCAACAGAAAATTAATCAGCACATCCTCAAATAATTAATAACAAGCAAACATTCAAATCATTCTCTGGTTCAAGCATTTCCATTGTGATGACACTGACTGACATTTTTCACAATTTGCTGCCATTTTATATACAGATCAATTGATTCATTGAGAAACTTGGCCTACTTTACATATTAATCAATAATAAAAATAGCCAAAGTAAGTTTTACTTAAAAAAAAATAAAAATGAACAGCTCTGTTAAAAATGACCTTAAGTACATTTTCTTTTCTTGCAGGTATCTGGCAGGCAGGCCCTGCAGTGGTGCGAGGAGATAGGAGCAGAATACTGTGAAGGCAGCGCTAAAGAGGACCTGGATGTGGAAGGGCCGTTCCTGAGAGCGGCTCGCAGCGGCTTACAGCAGGTGACTCCCTCAGTTTAAATAAATAAATAAGAAAGACGCAGCATTGCTCTATGTTTAACATGTTTATTTTTTGATGATAAAAGATACATTACTCCCTACAGTACAAAAAACACACATTGGAAAATACAGGACATTTCCAGATAACCTGCAAACAGCCGAGAGAAACTCGCAACACCTGTGAGTGCTGAGGGCAGCGCTCGTCCCAGTGTGGGAGGGAAAGTTCAGAGACCTCGGCACTGCTGATGATGACCTATCTAACGAGGGTGCAAAAATAGTGACCCAGCAAAGGTACTGTGGAAGGAAAGGACACAATTGTATACCACATGGAGAGAGGAACAAACTCATTAAATGTTTTTTCTTCTTTTTTCTTTTTTTTGAGAACCTTCAGCTTATGGTCTAACTTAAGGCATCACTACTAAAATACACTGCTTTTGCATGCATGTCTAGTTTTGTTCAACAGACACACTGACACGCACAAAAATTATGAATGCATATGAAGAGAGTTCATTTCTAGAAAGAAATCGGGAGAAACCACAAACAGCAAAACCAAGGTGCCAGCCGGAGAAAAAGCAGGCGAGTGACAACCTTGGCTCTGATCATCCTGGCAGTTACCATCACAACTGAATCCGCCCTTACAAAGTAGATATACACTCATGTCCAGTCAGAAACCTCCTCCCTGTACGTTTGAATTGTAATGAACCTAGCAGTGATCCAGACCCCTACAGTGAATCAGCTTGACAGAAGCAAATTAGAACAATCAGGGAGACTATATATATTTATATTATATATATATATATATATATATATTTGTTTCTTTTTATAAGTAAAGACACAAAAGGCAATCAAGAGATGACCAACATGTAAAAACTGTTTGTTACAGGTAATTATATAAAAGGCCAAGATGTTTTTTTTGTTGTTGTTTTATTCTTGCTCTATGAACGAACTAATTTACAGGTGAGTACACTCCGGCTATGTAAGCTTTCTTCCCAAGACATCCCCCATTCAAAGACATATGGGTATATACGTCACAGTTAACTTGCACACCTGCTGTAGTCTGAAATACAGAGCCGTGGAAGGAAAAAATTAAAATTTATTAAATGGATTCACATACATCAATAGGATAGGGAAAATATGTCTACTAATATAATTTGCCATTCTAAAAAAAAAAAAAAAAAAAAAAAAAAAATGAAGACGAGGTGAGACACCACATTCATGAGCATAAAAAGCGTAGGACAACTGATAGGGATGATAGTGGGAAAGGTATGAAGAGGTGTAATGTTATTTTTCTTCATACCCTGTGAAACTCCATTTTGGCAAACAAAGCAACACAAGCATTGAGTAGTAAACAAAGTCAAAAGTCTCCTCTCACTGGGTCCACTTCAAAGTTCCCTTCAGTCCTATAACCTCTGCGGTTCTACTTGGAACAAATACAAAAAGTCTTTCTCGCTTTCATGACCATCTGTTAACGACAAGAACATACGACCAACTTAATGAAAGATTTTCTTTTAAAAATATAGTGGCAACCTCAACACAGCCACCCATTTTCCCACGAACACAAACTATGGGGATGAACAACAGTTAAAAAAAGTGATGTTTTTAAAAATGCACACAACATACATACACATACACACACACACAGGAGGGGGGGAAAAAAAGCTTAAAAAATACAAAAATAAACTACACAAGATCTTCTGCGTCATTGCTTGCTAATTTTTTGGGAAGATTTTTGAAGATTTTTTTTTTGTGTGCTGCAAGTCTCAGTCCTAGCAAAGTCTGTCATTCATTCTCTACAAATCTCTTCCTTTGTCGTTCTCTTTTTGTCCACTTTGAAGTGTCGGCCACCAGTCCTCATCTTGGGGTTAGAAGCGCACAGTGATGACATTACCAGGAGACTGGAGTCCAGTACGATGACTATAGACTCGGTTCTCGATGAAGCAAATTTGTTTTGAGCAAAAAAAGAAAGGAAAAAAAATTATGTCCTCTTTCCGTTGAGGACAAGTGCTTTATTTGTTTCCATACCAATTTTTCCTCTCGTCTAAACTATTGCCTCCACAGCCTTTTTCAACACTGTACATCATTTCATGTAGTCTCTCTCTACATCCCCCCCAGGATTCACAAAACAAAGACAAAAAAGAAAAGGTAACTTTGCGCTCAGGCTGGCTCCCAGTTTGTGAAAGACGTAAATGCTTCTCTATACTACTGAAACAAGCCAAAAATAGATGTTAAACGATGGAAGGGGATGTGACTGAAAAAGATAATGTGCTTCTAAGTTTGTGTTGCTCTAAAAATAGTACGACCAACAGAACGAGGAGGGAGGAGGATTTTTATCTACAGAAACATCTCAGATTGACTTTCATCTCGGCTTCATACGGTTGTTCTGCCTCCACTGCTGTCGTGATCTGAGACTTGAGGGTGGAGGATGAGATTAGGATGAGGATGTGGAGGTGGAGGAGGGGTGAAGGTCAGTCTTCCTGATAAAAGGACAGCGAGTTGAAAAAGGACAAAAGACTGGGAGGGGTCTCTGGGCAACCTCACTGGTCCGTCCTTGCTTTCTTTGGACCAGTAGCCTTACTGCAAGGGCACACATAAAACCAGAGTTAAGTACTGCATGTTTTATTCATCAGTGCCATGTGAATGTCTAGCCTGCATGAAACATGAATGCTGTACTTACGTATCAGGGGAGGTGCCTGGTCTTTTGGGGGCCGGTTTAGCAGAGGCAGCATCTTTGCCAGATTCTACAAAGCAGAAAAAAAGTGTTATATATATATATATATTTATATTCATTAATGACATACTCACTTACTAATAGAGTATTAGTTTGTGAATCTGCGTGCTCACCTTGCAGCCATCGAACTTGGGTGGCAGGACCGTAGCCCTTCTCATTGCGGGCTGCGATGCGGAAGATGATGGCTGGCTTGGTGGTGTAGTCAATGTGGGCGTTGGAGAGGCTCGACGATTGCACTAAGCAAGAGGGGTTGGGTCCACAGTACACGCGCATGAAGGCTAGCTGCGCCGGGGTGGAGGCCTTGGCTTCAGCTGTCTGGTTGCTCTGGATGGCCAGGTACACGGAGTACTCGATGATCTTCCCTGATGTCACCGAGGGTGGCTCCCAGGTCAGGTGGGCACCATCTGGGCTCTACAGAGAGGCAGCAGATGAATACTACTCAGTGCCTGAAAGCACGGCTCATGTAAACAGCTGTTTTTATTGTCGTGTATGTATGTCAATCCCAGAACAAAATAAAAAGAAAACAAGGGAAGTGGTGAGTTTACCTTGCTGATTTTGATGGCGCAAGGTGCCCCTGGGAAGCCTGGTAGGCAAGTCTTGAAAGCAGATATCTCTGAAAAAGCTCCACGACCACAAGCGTTGATTCCAGCAACACGGAACTTGTAAGCTGTTCCAGGCTGCAGCTCCATTTTCTTCATCTGGCTGTAGTCTGGCATGATGCCAGAGTCATCCTACCAAACAAAAAAGCGATTAGGGACACTAACATACGGTCATCTAATGCTGGGTACACACCAAAAGATAATCGGGCTGATTTTGGGCCGATTTCCCCCCTTCCGACAATCCTAGCTATGTCCCGATTGTCTTGATGGTTCTACAGATTATGTTATCAGATTCTCCGTTGGTGTGAAGTGTGTTAAGAGTGTCCAAACCTGATCGGAAGAACGTCAGAGGCGCCCCGATCAGAAACCTGATATGTGGGGGGATCCCCGAGGACAAACGTGCGCACGTTCTGGAGATTATCACGTGAAACGAAACAATATCCAATCAGAAAGTGAGATGATTGAAGACGGAAGCATAAGAAACACAGTCATGGCGCAGCACAAGGTGAAATTAATGTGGACAGCAGAGATGGAGGATCAGCTTGTAGATTTGTGGCAACAGCACGAATGTTTGTTCAACGTCGCAATTTCTTTCTGCATATCGTCCGCCATGCTTATTCTGAAGTCTTGTGAGATTTTGCGAGATTTCCTGTTCACAGTCTAGACTCGGGTTGAAAATCTGTGTGATGTGCTGTCTTTCTCACATCATGGCACACCACACACTATAGGAGCAAAACGGTTAAATCTAGGATTTTTTCTCCTCATGTTTGTGGTCTATCACATTTTGAAAATCTTATCAGATGTAAAAAATCCTTTGGTGTGTACCCAGCATAAGCATGAAAAAAGCCTCCTGAGACACTTACATCTCCATGAGAATCATCTGCTGGCACGTAGAAGTGGGTGACAACCATATTTGTCACTTTAACGATTCCAACATCAAACCACTGGTTCTCCTTCTTCACAACAGGCTTCACTGGGGTTGGCTGAGGGCCTTGCTTCTGCAAGTAAACAAAATAATACACAGTCACATTTCTTCTCTCTTTGACCTAGCTGAACCAGCCGGATGTTCAGTAATCCTACAATGACTCACCTCTCCCTCTATGCCATTGGCGACCTCTGCTAGAGCGGCTGCTGCTTGCAGCTTGGCTGGACTTGCCGCTGATACAGAGGGTGCAAATGTGCTTGATGGAGCAAGTGCTGTGGAGTGAAAAACAATACGAAAACGTAAATCTAGTGTGCAAAAAGATACCCAAAGTAACTATCAAAAAACAAGTCTTACTCTCAGCACTGGTACGTGGCAGCAGTGACGCCACAGCACTGGTGACTGCGGCTGCCATCTCATTGTGTCCGTTGCTTTCGACAGAGGGGTCGTTGAGGCTGTCAGCAGGGGCGAGGCCTTCTGTGGGCAAGCTGCTGTCCACGGTGGCCTGCTGTGCAGCAGCCTGAGCCTCTTGCAGCTGCTGCTGCTGCTGGACCAGCACCGCAAGCTCTTGCTGGGTCAACATGATGGGGATGTTGGTGGTTTGCTGGCTCTCTCCAGTGGAATCGCTCTCATCTGTTAACAGAAAATTTTTAAAATCACTGTGAGCTAGAGCCAATTTCTGCTGATTCTGCTTAGAAACTGCTGGTGTTAAGTGTTTGGAATTCTTTCAATAGTTTTCCTCAGCCAGACCTTGAGCTACAACACTATGGTTGAAAACTGAAGCAAAACGAAATGCACAGAGAAATCTGACTATGCTTGAACTCACTCATTACGGCTTGCTGAGCTGCCTGGAGGACAGCCTGGATAGCAAGGGCCTGGGCTTCTTCAGTGGCTGCTGCCTGAGCAGCAGCCTCTGCTGCTGCAGTCACAGCCAGCTCCTCGTCTGACAGCCCTGTCACCATGAGTGTGGCTCCCTGACCCTCAGACATTAGCTCTGAGGGCAGATTCAAGGCAGTCGCTGTGGCTGCTTCTCCCTGAAAGACCACATTAGAGGTGATATACACACGTAACATATCTTTGATTGAATGGACTTTTAAAATGTCAGGCCAACACTGGCTTTGTGTGGCATCAGAATTTACCTCTGCTTGTGTCTCCATAGCGGTGGCTCCCTGCTCGGCAGGTGCAGCTTCTGCTGATGCTACTTCATCAGTTTGCATGGGTTCCTCTGTGGAGCTGGCAGCAGTGCTCGCACCCTCTGTGATTGATGAGATCGACTGGGGAGAAACAAAAATGTGTAGATTGGTCACAATGGATAAAACACTTAGGAAATTATACGTTTCTCTCACATAATGCCATCAGATTCAGACATGCAGGCTTAAAACAGACATCTGCTGAGATTACCAATAGTAGCAGTGGTGGTTAGATTATTTGCTATTTCTGCCAGTAAATTAATGCATTTCTTACAGGTACAGAGGGTCCGGGGGCTGGTGTGGACTGGGTGACCGTAGTGATGGCCCTGCCCTGGGAGGTGGTAACTACACCAGGTGCTGCAGTGGTGGGGGCCTCTTCTGTGCTGCTGGTACCTTCTGCTCCCTCCTCTGTCTGCTGGGCTGCTGAAAGATATAAAAGACATCATTTCAGTTTGACTACATACCAATAAATTAATTTCATGTCCTGTATGCAACACAACATCTATCATGTGGCAAATCAGCACTTCTAGACATGAAACTGAAAAGGGCAGAAACAAAGTATGAGGTGAAATGTTGAAATGATTGAATGATTAAAAGCTAATGAATTATGAATGGAGCAAACAAAAGATTTCATTAGGGTTGCTTGCTTAGGTAGTTAAATGGGTTGTTAAGAACTACTAACTGTATCCTAGTGAGCTGCCACAGGTCCAGTATATTTGGTTATACCTGTGCCTTCGCCTGTCTCCATGGTGCAGGTGGCAGTGGTGGCTGTGTTGGTTGTCCCAGTCTCGTGCGTTTCACAGGGCGGGTTGGAGCAAACCCTCTGGACCTGGCCTGTCGTTGTGCTGGTCTGGTCGCTTCCCATGTTGGAGCTGGCTGTGGATGGGGTACTGGTGGTACCCGTCTCGTGTGTTTCATAGGGCGGGTTGGAGCAAACCCTCTGGACCTGGCCTGTCGCTGTGCTGGTCTGGTCGCTTCCCATGTTGGAGCTGGCTGTGGATGGGGTACTGGTGGTACCTGTCTTGTGTGTTTCGTAGGGTGGGTTGGAGCAAACCCTCTGGACCTGGCCTGTCGCTGTGCTGGTCTGGTCGCTTCCCATGTTGGAGCTGGCTGCGGATGGGGTACTGGTGGTACCTGTCTTGTGTGTTTCGTAGGGCGGGCTGGAGCACACCCTCTGGACCTGGCCTGTCGCTGTGTTGGTCTTGTCGCTTCCCATGTTGGAGCTGGCTGTGGACGGGGTGTTGGTGGTCCCCGTCTCGTGCGTTTCCCGGGGTGGGTTGGAGCACACCCTCTGCGCAGTGCCCGTCTGGCCTGTGTTCATGTTAGAGGACGCCTGGGTGGCTGTGTTGGTGGTGCCCGTCACATGGGTTTCACAGGGTGGATTGGAGCACACATTCTGGACTCCTCCCATATTAGCCGATGCTGTGGTAGCTGTGTTAGTTGTCCCAGTTTCATGAGTCTCACATGGTGGGTTGGAGCACTCACGCGGCACAGACATGTTTGAAGATGCAGTTGTGGCTGTGTTGGTGGTGCCTGTTTCGTGGGTCTCACAGGGTGGATTAGAGCACACCTGTCCTGCTCCCATTGTAGCAGAAGAGGTGGTGGCTGTGTTGGTGGTTCCGGTCTCGTGGGTCTCGCAGGGGGGATTAGAGCACACCTGTCCTGCTCCCATTGTAGCAGAAGAGGTGGTGGCTGTGTTGGTGGTTCCTGTCTCGTGGGTCTCGCAGGGCGGGTTAGAGCAGACGAGGGTGACTGTGCCAGAGCCCTCTCCGGCTGCTCCAGCCTCTGAGGAGCTGGGCTGCTCAGAGGTTGGTGAGGCCAGGATGGATACTGGTAGATCCTGCACTGGTTGAGCTTCTACACCACTGGGAGTTGTGATCAGAGTCACCTGGGTGGGCTGGTTCTGGGCAGAAGAGAGTAAAGTAATGTGAGTATTCTTTAAATCATACAGCCTGTTTCATACCCAAAGATAAGTCTCTCTTATTCTCTCTCTCTAGCTTTTATCTCTTTGTTTTATAATAATAATAATGGATTACATTCATATAGCAATTTATCTTAGGGGCAATCATCATGACTGTTGCAGTCTCTCTCTTTGGTTGTAATTTAAAGTCCTCATGACTAAATGCTACAATACAACCTGAGGGACAATGGGGGGGTCTTACCTGCACTGTCATTGTAGAGGAAGGCAGGGAGGAGGCAGAAGTCAGGCTGGTCTGAGCAGCTGACACAGTTATGGCAGATGGGCTAATGACCTGGCTGGACAGGGTAGCGATGGTTCCCAGTGTGGTGATGGGGGTAACCAGAGAGGCGTTGGAGCTGTCCACAGTTCCTCCTGGCAGGCTACTGGAGACTGTACCAGTGACTGTCCCAAGAGTGGTGACACCTGGATTGAAGAAAAGTGGCATTAAAAGATGAAAACCAAAAGGATCCAGAGTACATTGTACAAAGCACAACATCTCATCTAATAACAATTAATTATAAGTAAATCAAAAGAATATAGTTATTCTTACCAGTAGTCCCCTTGACAACCAGAGTGGTGACAGTGGGCTTTACAGCAGAGACAGTCACTGGTGTAACAAGTCGAACACCACCCACTGTGCTCATGGGCACGGTGCGTAAAATAGTGCCAGGCTGCCCAGGAGCACCCTTCAAAACCACCTAAGCACACGTAATTCAGAATTAGTCTCCTCAGGTGCAACATGAATAGGAAACACAACAAAGACGACATCTGTGAAGACCACTGTACAAACAGAATCAGTGTACCTGTGTCAGTCCCTGTTGGCCAGCTGCAGTGGCAAGTTTGGGCACTGCAGTGATGATTTTACCAGGAGTTCCAGTAGTCATCACCTTTGTGGTAAGGATTGTGATAGGTGTTTTCATGCCTGCGCTGCTTGTCACACCTGCAGGGACAAAAGCATGTATGCATGAAATCATAGTCATCTTACTATGTCAACTCAATACACACTAACCTAAATAGCAGACACTGATTAATTTACACCATTCTTAACATATGTTTAAGCCATTGCAGGGAAGAATATTAAAAAACAAAATCAAACTTAAGCCTACATCATCGCTAGTTCTGTTGTGGCATGCCATCACCAGTTATCTGGAAATTCAACCAGGTGACTACAAACACAGAAAATAATTTGATCCAGATGTTCATCTGGTTGAGGTTTTGTTTAAGCTCCAAAAGTTGTATGAACGTCACTTATTTTGATGTACTGATCTCAGTCATGAATGTGCAGGCCGTTGGGATATGTAGTTGTGACTTGAACTTGAAACTTGAGAGTGTTTAGACCTGTAGCTCCAGGCTGGGTCATGATGGCCGACATTGGGATGGTCTTAATGATGGTGGTGCCCTGCTTAGTGGTGCTAGGAGAGACGCCGCTGATGTTAAGGATAGTGGGCTTGTTTCCTGTGCCTCCTGCCTGGGAAGTGGTGATGATTGTTGTGGGCTTGCCATCTGCAGAGGTCACCAGCTTCAGGATGGTGCCAGCTGGGAGGGGACCCTTTGTCTGGGGAGAGAGGCACACATAATGCAAACCATTTGGAAAAAGACATCTGATGCCTGTCTCAGGAGTTAAGCTACCTCCAGTTTTTTTCCTGCACTCATGCAGATATCTGACCTGTATGATCTGTGTGAGAGGGTTAGTGGAAGCCTGGCCTGTTACAGCTGATGTCTGCACTGGCTTGGTTTGTACCACAGACATCATCTTGCCAAGGTTGGAGATCTGCCGACATAGGAGAGAGACTCAAGTTCATGAGTCACCAGAAAACATCGGACAGCACAGGGAGTTCAGTGGGAACGTGGAACACCAAACTGGTGGCTCTATCGTTCCATCTAATCATTTCAGCCCTAACTGACCGACAGTCATGCAGATCACTAACAACATGCTCCCTGTTTTCTGAGTTCTCCAACAGTCACTGTAGGCCAACCTTTACTCCCTCCCCCACTGGTTCAAGCTCAGTGTATTGTTGTAAGACATAATAAACAAAATATACACCATGTGTGAAAAAGCAATTTACAGAACCCATCATTTACAGCATGCGTGTGAAAGCACCAAAGGGTGCGCCCAAGAGTGTCAGCGTTTCAGTTTTACATTGTGCTACAGAATTTCCACAGAGTCCTGTTTTCTTACCAGAGTGCCACTGCTGCCCATGGTGAGGGGACTCTTGACCAGAGTGATGGTCTTGGTGACTCCTCCCACCACAGTGGTTACCACCTGGGCCTGCTGGGCCACTGTGACTGCACCAGATTTGTGCACAGTGATGATGGGTCTGGTGGTAGTGGGAGAGGACGCAGTTGCTGTGCCCACCTGGGCTGCAGCAGTTTTCAGCATCCGGGTGGCTGGGTTACTGACCTACAAGCACAACATTATTTTAAGAATTGACCTGTGACAGACAGAATGCACACTATGTTAGAAATAAAAATGTGATCTGTACCATGACTGGAGAAGCCACCTTCATTGTGGTTGTGCCAGGGGAAACAGCTACTGTTTTGAGAATGGTGGCACCTGCAGGAACATTGAGGACAGTGCCTGCAGAGGAGGGCGGGATCTTCTGTGTGGCTGCAGCTGCTGCAGCTAAAGCTGCCATGCCACTCATCTGAGGGCTACTGCCAATTGGCTGAAAACAGAAAAAGTAAACAATTCAACACATTTGCTCTTCTGACAATGATATATACTTCAAGACATATTTTAAACAAGATTGCAGTACAAAACTGATCATACCGATCCTTGGGTGGTCTGGGCGGGCACTACCATTCTGACACCTGGAGGAAGGGATGTCACAGTGACAGGGGATTTCCCAGGTTGGCTGGGCCGGACTGTGACAACAGATGTGCCTGTGGCAGACTGTTGAGCTTGAACTTTCAAAACAGCTGAAAAAATAAGGGATTATTAGACTTTATATGCAGTGGTTCTGCAGTTGTTGAGCTTCCTGGTGTACTGACAACAATTTACAGTTGAAAAAGAGAAATCATTGGTCACTAGTGTAATACCTGTCTGTTGTAGACTCTGAGCAGAGGGTGCTGCAGCAGCCGGCACGGGGCTTTTGGGAGAGTTCACAGGCAGCGAGGGGGTTGCACTCATGACTGGTGAGGCTGCAGCTGGAGTTGCAGGGATGTCATATTTCTGCAGCTGCAGTAAGTAGGTGTCCGCAGTTGAGACGGCACCCCAGCTCACCTCCAGAGAATTTGTGTTGGCACGGACTAACTGCACCCTGGCAGGAGCGTGTGGCCGCTCTAAGGAGGTGGAAGACAAGAAATTCAACAACAATGACATTATTTGACAACCTGAGCCACTTAAGATACTTTAAATGAAAAAAATTAATCATGTTACAGCACACCTACCTGTTTCCAGGTACCAGAGGTCTTTACAACAGACTTGGTTGTTCCAAGCTTTACGATAACCATCACGGCCACTCCAAACATAGAGTCTCGAATTTATGGCCACAGCACAGTGGCCAGCACGAGCCCTGGGGATATTGTCTTCAAGAGTATCCATCAACACTGTCTCCCAACACATGGAGTCTACAGGCAAACATATGGCACAACAATTAACATCCGTGATGTGTATTTTACTCAAACCTGTTCATAGTGAAATCTAGTGTTGTAAATACAGAGTTAAACAAACCAAGATTTAGGCAGGCAAGAGTGTTTGTGCACTTCCACTCCTTCTCGTGTGTGGCCACTTTGACGTCATCCATAACCAAAGGAACCCATCCTCCAAACACATACATCCTGCACAATGAGAAAATAAAATCACAGTGAGACGCTATCTACTGTTATTCAGAAATGATTAAATACAACATTCAATATGTTATTGCACCGGTACAGCAGTTGTCTCACTTGTTTGTGATGGTAGTGGCAGAGTGAAGACTTCTGGGGAGCGGTGCTGTCCCATTTACTGATGGTTTATTCCACGTCAGGGTATCTGGAGACAATGACCAGCAGTAAGATGTTATACGATAGCCCCAATGTATTCTGACATGAAACCAGATAAAGCACCACAGGTGAAACAAATTCCCACACATAACTGTCAAACATTGACTTTTTATTCTCTCTGAAAGTGTGGGACTACAAAGGTGATGATGTTCAATTGCCTTTGGTCTGACTGGCTGTAAATAGCAGCACTGTCTGTCAGTGGCACCAGAAGGGCATTTCAAATGTTTGTGCTGTAATTTTCCATTCACACTTTTAGAAACCCACCAATATCAAGTGTCCACAGATCTCCAAGACGACAACCACTCATCCCTCCATAGATTATCAGGCGAGATTTCCTGCTCGTCTTTTCTGTGTACACCACAGCAGTGTGGCTCTCGCGAGGAGGAGGCAAGACTCCATATGTGATTGGAATATCCCATCCAACCACACTGGAACCTGCACGAAGCTCAAGTGTGTACAGATCATTCAGGTATCTGAGAATGAAAAACACACAACATTTGTCACACAAATGTTGCTGGTTGAAGTAGAATCTCAAGCAGTCGTGCATTATAGAGCACTAATGGTTCCAGCTTGAAAAATCTCCGTACCTGGGAATGTTGTTTTTGGGGTCCTCGCTGTCATTGGCTAGTCCACCAAACAGGTAGCATTTGTTGCCAACCAGGGAAAAACTGTGACCGAGACGAGGACAAGGAGGAGGGCCATTCTTCGGGTTTTTTGCTTTCAACTTTTTCCATTCCCATCTGCTGGCCTGTAACACAGACCATGGTCAAAATAACAGATTATTGATTGATTAGGTCATTGCAGATAGTAACAAAGTCACGAGTTGACCTCATTACCTATTCTGACAATCTGTGACTGAAACTATACATACCTTTTTTTAACAACTAACTCTATATTAAATGTTCCATTAATTTATACTTTTGTTTTTATTTCATTTTATATATGTGTATTCCCATTACCAGTGATATTCATCTGGATTGGGATGTACCTACTTTATAATCATAACCAGAAACAGCGTATTTCTAGAGGAAAGATTTTTCCAAGTAGGAGAATAAAAACATGTTTTTCTTATAGTGCACTTTTCAGGATTGGTTAATTATATTTAGTTAAACAGGACATTAAAGGAGCAGAATAACTCGTGCTGATTAGCTTCATGTTTGGTCTCTAACTTCATTACCGCTTCAGACCCCCTTCCTTCTCAAAATGTGACTTCACGGTGGTTTTTAAAAGCAGTGGCTGAGGAATTCTGTTGTAAACATGTTCATCTCCTTTTGATGCTTGCATGTGCTCCAATAACTTTCCAAATATTTTAAATAAAACCAACTTATTTGAAAAAAAAAAAAAAAAATCAGGATTGAGGTAAACTATATTGAAATTGATATTATAACTAACTGAACCCTTCAAACTATTTTAAGTTAGAAACATTTCATTATATTAATGTGCAAAAATGATGGGCGTTTTCCATAGACAGATTACCTGTAGTTCATAGAGATCGTTGCTGTACTTTCCGTACTCCACCATTCCACCAAACACTAGCAATCTTGTGCCATCACAGACAAAACCATATGCAGCACAACCAGGAGGAATATCACCCCGGACCGCTGGGATAAACCACTGGTTGGTCGCTAGAAATTAAATAACAATAATGGCAGTGATGTGGTCAATTGAGATTCACCCATTTCAAGTCACTAGTATAACATCTAAACAACAACATTATTAACACTGGAACATATCCAAAATCTGCATTTAAGGACACATACACCAGATATTGTGAATTTTGTCTGTCCTTATTGGTTTGTGTGGAGGAAAGTGGGGCAGAGGATATGCTTAAACCAACCAGCATCATCCATTTTATTTTAGCCCGCCTTTTTTAACTTGCATTGAAACCACTTCTCCAGCAGAGGGGGACAGATGTGTTCAGACGCGGATCGGCTTGGCCTGCTGAGGCCTGTACACTACTTAGTTCACATCACATCACGAATCGATCTTTATAAGTAAAATATAACTGTTTTAAGGCGAAAACTCAGTGTGAAAATGCGTTGTATGTTATTTCACAGTTGAAGTATTGTTAAGCAAAACATTGTGCCTGCTGCTAAACACTCAGTAAAGTTATACATGCAAAGTTAATCTTACCAGTGTTGTATACATGTAGTTCATCCACAATCCCTTCGTTTCCACCGCCAAAGACAACCATAAGCTCCTTTATAGCCACAGCTCTGTGTCCATGTCTGGGCCGGGGAACTGGACCGGACCATCCGAGGACCCGTTTCCATCGCGGCTGCAGAACCGACGCCGTGGTCCCGGACACCGCGGAGCCAGGGACAGACATGACTTCTGTCAGAAGGAATAATGAAGGAGCATTTGTCTTAATTGCTTAAGTAATCGCGATGTTGTCACGGTAACGACTGTAGAAACTCATTAGCAATATCCGAGATAGCTGTAGCTAACTTCTAACACGGTGTGTGCGATCATAACGTAACGTTAACCGTTAGAAGCTGAGAAATCTCAATAGTTAGCGGTTAGCTTTGGTTAATGAGCATGTAATAAAAAAAATAATCAGAGTAAGAGCTTGATCACAATCACAACCCTTTATATAGCTTTGACGCTGCAGTTGTGCTAAGAAATACAATATACAATTTCAACACCGAAGTTGTGTCTTAGCTAGTTGTTTCTAACCATTGAATCCAATCTATGGAAGCAGCCATCTTGCAACCAAACAAACCCCCGCTAACGCTACTGCCAGTCTGAAAAATGGCGGAAGCGAATGAGAAAGACAAATGCACGATAGCTAGCCAACTACACCGGCAAACAAACACACCACTATAAAAAAAGAATCAATAAATGAATAGCAGCTCAACAAAGCAGAACAATACATGGTTGCAACACAGATTTCATCCACAGTTAGAACCGTTAGCAAGAGTCGGCTATTTTCATGCTTCTCTGGGAGTCGCCATATTGTAGCTAACAAGCTTAGCATTCTCTGCAACGCTTTTAACATTGTTATTAACATTTGATACGTGTTTCAAGCTTACTTTAGCAGCTGCAACAGTGTTAACTTCACATGCCTCAACTCCCATCGAATAAAGTACTAAAACATGCTATAACATTTAAATGCAATCGTAGTATTCAAATTGAGTCTAGCGTTAGCTAAAACGTACTCCGTTAGCACTAGCGGCTAGTTGCTCAACCTACTTTGCCCAAGCTAACAACGTTAGCTGTACGGCTGGCATCTGTCAAAGCGTCGGCAGATTTTACAATTAAATGCAAAGTAATTCCTTTTTATTCTGACATGCATATTTTACCTGATACAAATGTAATTGCAACACCACTCTTAAAATGCAGCTAAACGGAGTTAAACGGCATGAACAGAGTGTTATTATGTTTCATGCCGTCTCTGGAAGCAGCCATCTTTTCGACAGTCGGCCTAGCGCTACAGCTCCCACAAGAAAAATGGCCGGACGGTATGCCACAACAAAACATAACAAACCGAAAAAAGCGCATATGTTTCAAAAAACCTACTTACTTATTTCGATGCAGTAATCGCAAAAACACGGGTATGTGGTCTTATCTTGCGGCAATAATCCAAATTCATTCGATTTGTGAAGAAGTATTTCCTCTCATGCCTGCCTGGAAGCTGCCATCTTCTTGACAACCAGAGGCGGAGGAAAATGGAAGAGAGTTGGCGTCACCCAAAGTAAACATGGCGACATAGACCCGCTCGTGAACCGTTTCATACAGAAACGCATACACAGATTTTGTTATTTGCCACCGTGAATAGGCAACGGGTGCTCTGTATAGTGAGGTATTTCAAAGAACACTTGAAATCTATAGAAAGAGAACATATCAGGAGTTTCACCAAATTACAATAAGTTGTGTTATAGCACTAGGCTTATTGTCCCTTACTAAAGATGGCGCCACCCGTGCTGAAACCACTTTTATTTTACTATTGTTGGTGATTCTGATTTTATTCCGCCCTAAACCTACATAGATATGCACATTCATGCACAATAATAGTGTATAGCCTAAGCACTAATTTACTGATTTAGCACTCAGACGTTCAAACTTGCCACGCCCACACCCTCAAATATTGCGCCCTCCACTGATACAAGTAAGTTACTGCATCACTATAATACCATCCATATCAGATAGCAAAGCTCGTTTTTCAAAACAGTACGGTCAGTCACATTTCTATGCTGGACTTATACTGAAAAGCCACACGATATAAAATATTAACGTTTTGGATGAATTTTAAGCTTCTCAATCTAAGTTGGATTTGTAGAAGTCCTAGTTCTATGAAAGTTTGTACAGATGCATCTAATTGTTGCGCAAACACAAAGGCAGTCTTGAATAGGCCTACACATAGGATTACCAAAGGCACAGTCTAATTAGGAACATTATTGTACACTATGGTGGTTTTTAGCAGGATCAGCACTACAAGTCACTTGAAGAATGCAAAATGCATTTTCCTCTATGATGAGTGGGGCTGTTTCCTATTGTGTAATTACATGACATTTTTAATAAAATATTGTTAAAGCTTTACATAGCCTATCATATTTTAGAGTTCTGCCTATATATGGCAACCCGCTTTAACATTTATTCCTTAAAACTTATTAGTCGCTATTTAAAAGCTACTAGTACTTAATTGCTATTCTATGAGCTCTGTAGTTCAGATATCACCTTTTCATTAGTTACTAGTAACTCATTGAATAGTTACTAGTAACCATTTTCATTTTACTTGTCACTATTATTTAACTGCTAGTGCTTATTGTTACTAGTAACTATTCATTTCTTACTAATAAGAATTAAAATGTTATTATTAGTTAGTACTAGTAACATCTCCCCAAAAATACTAGAAGAAGAAAATGTTACTAGTATCTATCGGAATAGTTAACTAGTACTAGTATAATAGGTACTAGTAAAATGGAAATAGTTACTAGTAATTATTTGAATAGTTACTAGTAACTAATGAATGTGATATCTGAACTTCAGAGCCCCATAAATTTCAATGGCAAAAATGTGCAATTAGTAGTAACTAAAAAATAGTTACTAGCTTTTAAATAGCGACTAGTAAGTTTTAAGGAATAAATATTTAAATGGCTTGCCATAGATGCCTGTTTGATCATCCACTAACTTAATGAAATAGTTATATGTAACATGTGCATACTAGCTACTACGCCATAGTTTTTATTTCTGAAGTATACGGGCTGCCTCAGAAGTTCCCATGTATCAGCTAGCAAAGAGAGATTTTTTCCACTGAAAAAAATGTATGTTATCATTTATTGCTTCTATGACAAATATGAAAAAAACTATCTATTTACGGCAAATAAAATGAATGTGCTTCAGTTTACAGCACAGTCTGTCTCATTCAAATGTTTAATTTTGTTTGGAAAACACAGTTGTCCTATTTGCAATACATAATTTGTCCATCAGATGACATACTTGCATTGTTTTGTTTGAGTGCTGCAGCTTACAACAAGTTATGTATGAATACACTGGGAAAGAAGGGGGTTTTGGTTCTCATCATTTACATATTTTATTAATGATATGATGTGCTGTCCCTGTGCTGGAACTAGAACCAACATGAAGTGTCTTTGTATGTAGTCAGGCCACCATGAGCCTCCAGAACAGCTTCAGGGCTCCTTGCAAAGTCTGTGAAACTCTGTTAGAGAGATGATCACCATTCCTCCACAAGATATTCCCTTATTTATTGATACCATCTTTATTTAATCAGGTAATCAAAATAAGATGATTATAGCCTCAGAGACAGTCACAGACATCACTAAATAGATTTGAAGATAAAAGTTTCATCACTTGGTCTTACACGCTGGTCCACAATCTTCTCTAACTGAGTTGAGCTCTGGTAAAGGCCGTACTCACCAAACCATTCAGCGAGCTTTGGTACACTGAAGTATCTGCATTTGATATGTTTCTCCACTTTTTTAATTCAGGTTTTTCCTTTAAAGTGTCCACCATCTGCATATATTGATTGAAAGATAAAAAGGTCACAGTGACAATTAAGACCAGACACCACTTACATTTGATCAACTTTATTATGTGAAGAGTGCAGCCACTCCTGGCACCTTCCAGCACCCGTCTCATAAACAGTGAAGAAAATGCGGACAACTTTTATTTTATTTTTGCTCATTGTGTTATGTTATACTAACAGAATGTAAACAATTTTGTGTGGAAGCAGTTTTTCCAATGTATATCCAAAACACAACATGTAGTTTTATTCATCAGTCTTTGTATGTGAAGACTTGTTAAAACCAATATTCTGATCAATTCTTGATCTATAAAACCTCCCCCAGTAGATTCAAACTGACTAAGCTTTTCCTAAATTAATTCCATAATAAAAAATGTTAATAGATCAATTTTCCAGTAGGTTAGCACAAACCCTTGTGATTATTAAATCCTGAATTGTCCATAACTTTGGGCTCTCATTTGACCTAACTGTCTGTATGTCTCCCTGCAAAATAATGTACGTTTCTTAGAAATGACAAGAGAGGATAGGAAGAAGACACGAACAAATACACTTTAGAACCAGTGGTCAGTCATTCCCCCTTCCTTCACTTAAATTAAATTTAGTTTGTAACAACAGCTCAGGCATGATGATCTACATTAATTTCAGGTTTATTTTTAGGTATTTAAGTTTGTTTCAGTGGGCAACAATGCCACATACAGTTTTGTCTCTTTTTCAGTCTTGATGGACCAAACTGTGGCCCTAGATCCACTGACTGAGTCAGTATTAAAATATTCATTGCTGGGTCACTTACATTGTAGAAATGAGCTTTCGTCACAAAACTAGTTATGAGTCTTCACTTATTCCTCTTTTATGACTGATATCATTTGGCAAAAGTTTTGTTCATTTCCACTTAGCTGGGTATTGTTATTTACATCTGTTTGGGTGCATCAAAAGTGAGCACAGCAGCGAGTTAGAACAGGTCAGTGGAGTTTGACCTGCCATAATGCTCTGAGCTGCCAGCAATGGATTACACACAGTAAGAGTCTTATGGAACAGATTGAGAACTAAACTTCGAAAGCCTAAAGAGATCATCAGGTAAAGCCTCGAGAGGGACATGGATCAATTATAGCATCAGGAGGTGGAGGTTTTCAAGGAAGTGTATGTGGGTTTTCACCCACCATAAGGATCACAGATGATCACAGATCAGAGAGTCAGCCTTTTTTAAAGAAGGTTTTCTTGTGTGGTATAGTGCTATCACATCTATCAGCTAAATGACATTATGATGACAGAACAAACTCTCATCCAAATGCGCTTGTAAGCCTACTCTTACTATCCTATTCTGAAAGCCAGTTATCTTAATTACTTGTGTCCTCAAGCTTTGTGGGTCCCCATTAACCTGCTAAAAGAATTAAATAAACTGAGGGTTAGTCAACACAAACCAATAATTGCTCAACCTCATCTAATGGTAAGCAGATGTTCACAGAATATTCCTCACTGCTTTTGATGCACTTGTCACTATCTGTCCGTCCCTAAACTCAAGTTCAGAGTTGACCTCAAACAATAAAATGTCATACAATGACTCTGATGCTCTGCTTTGTGCTGAGATCCACAGTTAACACACGGTAATCCTTTCTTAATCCTGATTCAATAGGTAGAGATCATCCATCTTAATACTATCAAAAGGTTATTGGAAGTCCTGTTCCGTAGACAAGATGGCTGATTATTTAAGTGAGTTGAAAGTCAGTCAAACAATTAGTTATTCAATTATTTAATTAACTCCATTTAAAAGAGTTGATCAGACAACCCTCTAAATTGTCTCTGCAATGGACTGCCATAGACAGTGCACCTGCAGGAGAGACTGAACAGACCATCACCGGAAAAGCAAATTTTGATTTTTCTTATTTAGCTTACAGGGCAAGATGAAGCACAGCCGTGTGATGGAGCTTTCGGAGGATTTCTGGATGCCCATCCCTCTGGACTTGGGACAGCATCACGTCTCTCAGCCCCTTCCTGGTCCCCCAGGATCATCTTGCCAGCTCAGGCACCTATTATGGAATGGCAATATAGAGGTTTTTTGCATGCATTGCGGGCCCTGACATCAATTTGCTCACAGTTGCTTGCACCATAAGAAGCTCCAGTCCCGCTGTATACATCCTAGTGAACATGGCTGTGGCAAACCTTATCGTGTCCACTGTGGGTTCCTTCACTGGCTTTTGTGCCTTCGCATTCAGATTTTTCATCTTTGGACCACTACTCATGCAAGATTGAAGGTTTTCTGGTAACACTTGGCGATAAGACGTACTTTGAGACAGAAGTTTTTAATCTGACTTCATATTATTCCAGGTATGGTAGGCCTGTGGTCTCTTGCAGTGATAACTTTAGAATGGCTTGTCATATTTACATATGACAAGCCTTCATTTACATATGACAAGCCAATGGGTAACTTTATTTTCAAGCCTGACCATGCTTTAGACTGCTTTTCACCTGGGTGTTTGCACTGATTGCCTCATCTCCTCCACTGTTCGGAAAGAGCAGGTTAGTATTCCTCTCACACTGATTATACTGCAAAGCTGCCACATACACTCATTGCCTTTGCAATTGTCTCCAGGTACATCCCAGAAGGCCTGCAGTGCTCCTGTGGTGAAAGATGAAACAGAGAAAACAGAGTGAGGATGTTTTTTGTCTTATGATGCTCAAAAAACCACAAACCAACGAGTGA